CGCAGACTGGATTAGCAGTGAAAGTTACCAGCTTCCCCTGGTGCTTTCCTCTTTAGTTTCTAACCAACAACAGCTACCCTTCTTCAAATGGTAAATCCATAAAGTATTATCATAGAACCAGGGAAATCTTTGGGTTGGAAAGGACCTTAAAGCCCATCCAGCTCCAACCCCTGCCCCAGGCAGGGACCCCTTCCACTGGAGCAGCTTGCTCCAAGCCCCTGTGTCCAACCTGGCCTTGAGCACTGCCAGGGATGGGGCAGCCACAGCTTCTCTGGGCACCCTGTGCCAGCGCCTCAGCACCCTCACAGGGAAGAGCTTCTGCCTAAGAGCTCAGCTCAGTCTTCACTCAGTCAGTTTAATCCCAGCCCCTCATCAGTGTGGATGCCCAGTTCAGACCTGTGCTGGCTACAGGACTGCAGTGCACAGTGGTGTGTTTGCTCCAAAGGCTCTGATGCAAGGAAAGGAGCATGCCAAGTCATAATCTGCTGCTTCCATCCTCAACTAACAGAGTATTATTATAGCAGTAAGCGTATCAAAAGTACCCTCCTTTTTGGTTTTGCCCTTCTAAGGAAGCATTTGGAAACAAATGCTTAAACTGAAACCAGGGAAGTTCAGGTTACATATAAAGAAGCTCTTTCTGTGAGGGTGCTGAGGTGCTGGCACAGGGTGCCCAGAGAAGTGATAAATGCTCCATCCCTGGCAGTGTTCAAGGCCAGTGTGGACAGAGCCTTGGACAACACGGTCTAGTATGAAGTGTCCTTGCCTGCGGCAGGGGATTGGATCTGGATGATCTTAAGGTCCTTTCCGACACAAATCACTCCGTGATTCCCCCTTGTCCTGGCACTACAGTCCCTGATGAAGAAATTTTTCAGTTTCTTCTATTTTTTAATTCTTCCTCTGAGAATCCTTTTTTCCTTTTTTTTTTTTTTTTTAAAAACAGGAAAATCCTCTCTGTAATACTCAGATTCCAGCAGAGGTTGGACACTTTGGCCCCTCAAACTCCACTTGCAGGGACATCAGACAAGCTCAAAGACAAGCACTCGAAAGCACTGTGCTGAAGTCACCAGCTGGATTTTAAGGCTGAATGGCACATTTCCCTTCCCACCAAGCTGACTGGGTCTAGTGGGGTGTGCTCCTCAAGGCCAGCCCTCACCACACAGACACAGCACGGAAGCTTCTTCCACTCTCCTCTCTCCTCAGCAGGTCTTGGCTTTGACTTTTGCCACGTTCCTCACCCCACAAGCACTCTGCTTGGCCAAGGCTTTCTTCCCAAGTTTGTGTTACATGCAACAGGATAAAGCTGGGAAAAAACAGTCTACAGGGAAGACCCCTTGCAATACAGAAGTACAGTGGTGAAAGCACTTGGGCTGGAGGCTCCAGGATGGACCACTTCATCGCTTCTTAACAGCTCAGACCCAAGAAGGCCAACACAGTTAAAAGACCCATAAAGGGGCTCTCCCTTGCTCAGAGAACCCAGAAAAGCCCCCTGGAGTCAGCATGAGACCTCCCAAAGGTCCCCCAGCAGAGTCCACCATGCAGCTCTTTGCTGTGGGTCAGCCACGCTCCTCGTTACACACATCCAACGACAACCACAGCCCAAGGGAAAGCGCTAGAGCAAAATCATCTTGGGGGAAGCAGGGGCACTTGGAGTCAGCTCTTCTTGGAGCTGCCCTTTCCACCCAGCTCCTCCCATCAGAGGCAGGACCTGAGCTGGAGGTGACCCAACTGGCCGGTTTTCATATCCCCAACCAGTTTAATGAGCAGCAGCCCAATGTCAACGCAGCCATCGTGCATTCACCAGATTAAAGTGAAGTTCCGCAGCAAACTGGAGAAATAAAACACACCTTCATGAGCAGCGTTCCATCAGCCAGGCTGCCAGATCTGTCTTGCAGAAGATAGTTCTGGCTACTCGGCATAGCAGCAGCTACACCTCCAGCCTCAAAACATAAGAGTTTGGGGTCCAAGGAGCCAGAGGAAGACCTGGGCTCAATCTAATTCACCCAAAGTGCTTTACAGATTTACCGGAGAGAAAAAGGGAAGAGTGCTCGTGCTTCCCACCTGGCTTGCTCGCTCCTGCCCACAGTCAAACCAGAACCATAACAGGCAGAAAACAGACGGCTGGTGCAGGACAGCAAGTGCAGCAATAGAGATGTTTTCCCACCTTTTCCTCCCCAGATTAAACTGGAAACCACACGCAGGTATTTTACAGAGCCAACCAAACTGGGTGCCAGCACACAGGCACTAAAGCTTTAAGACAAAAGTGCTGGCGGTGGCTCCAGCTTTGGTGTCCAGTTTCAGTGCTGCAGCTCAGCAGTGTCCGGGTGACCCCTCTGGAAAACAGGAGGGGATAATGCCAGGGTTTGGCCCAAAATGAGCAGGATCAGCCAGGCTTTGAGGGCTCTCACAGGAACTTTGGCATCCCAAGGTGCAGGAGCCCATGGCACAAACCAGGGCAAGCTCAGAGCAGGGATGTTTCTGAGGTCAACCTTGGTGCACCAAGAGCAAGGACATAGGAAACTGAGTCTGAGATAACGGAGACGGGGGTCACATGGGAGTACGAAGCCAACGCCCGGAGCTGTAGCTGAAAGGGGGTGAGGAGAGGAAGCTCGGACCCCAACAGCAGCAGCCGGACCACAGCCCAGACTTCACCGAGAGGTCAAACAGGGACGTTCAGCACAGGTTAGCGGCTCGGATAGGCAGGAGCCGTTCCAGCAGGTTAAGGCACCAAACCTGACAGCCGGGGGCCGCAACCCCCGATACACGCCCCCAGCAGCGCCTTCATGGGGGAGGGTTAAACTGGGACCAAATCCAGCGCTACGGGAAGCGGCGGGACCCCCCCCCTCTCCCGGTGCCCGCAGCCGGAGCGCCCCGAGCCCGCCGCTCCTGGGGGGGCCGCACGTGGGGGCGAGGGAAGGGGGCGCGGGACCCACAACCGCGCGCACACAAGCGCGCGCTCGCCAGACCCGCCCCCAATCAGCGCCCACCAATCAGCGCCCGACGCCGCTACCAGGGCTTCGCGTCCCTCACGGCCTATAGGAGCGGCGCAAACGGCCGAGCCGCCTTCTCATTGGCTACCCGGGCTGCCCTTCTAGAGGCAATCCCGCCCCCCAACCACAACCCCCTCCCTCCCCACGCCCCGCCGCGCCCGGGCGGCGGCACCAAGGACACGGGGGGGGGCAGCCGCGTCCCCCGCCCGCTCGCCCACCGCCCCTCTCCCCGCTCCGGTCCTGGTCCTGCCCCCGCCCCGGTGCACCCCGGTCCGATCCTGCCCGGCCCGGCCCGGCCCGGCCCAGCCGCGCTCCTCACCAGCACGCCCGTCCGCCCCGCCCGCGGCCCCGGCTCTGACAGCGGCCTCCACCGCCCGCTGCCGCCCCGCACCGTCCCGCCCCGCGCTCTGCGTCACCGCGTCGCCACGCCCCCCCCCGCGCCCTCCGCCATGCCCCCGCCGGGCCACCCGGTGGTGCATGCGCAGCCGCCTCCGCGGGAAGGGAAGGGCGGGGCGGGGCCTGTGCAGCCGTTGAGGCGCGGTTGCCATAGTTACTTGGCGCAGGCCTCGCATCCCGGTCCGGCCTGTAGAGCCCGGTATGGCCTGAGGGCCGCGGTATGGCCTGGGGACCCCGCTCCAGCCTGTGGGCCCCGGTATGGCCTGGGGACCCTGGTATGGCCTGTGGGCCCCTCTACAGCCTGGGGACCCCAGTACGGCCTCTGGGCCCTGGTCTGGCCTGTGGACCCCAGTATGGCCTGAGGGGGCTAGTACAGCCTGGGAGCCCTGGTATGACCTGGGGACCTCAGGCCAGCCCACGGACCCTCAGTTTGACCTGGGGACCTCAGGGTAGGCTGGGAACCCCCACCATGGCATAGGGGACCCCAGCATGGCCCAGGGGAACTCCTGCCCGCTGAGGCACCCCAGCACAGTGACACCCAGCAGGCCTCAGCAGAGAGCGGCGCAGGCAGGGCCGTGTAGGAGGCACTCACCCTGAAGCCTCTGTGTGTGCCCCGGTCTGCTCGGGTTTCCAACCTGCCTTCTGTTTCTGCTTCAATGTGCGAGGGAAAGCGCGGGGTACCCACAGCGTGAGAGAGTTGGGTTGGGAGCGGGGCCTCCTGGGGAGTTCTGGCCTTGCTGGCCATTTCCTGCAGGGTGAGTCAGGGCAGCACCAGCCCGAGCTGCCTGGAAGCTCAGGGTGCAGACAGCACATTCGGGAAGTGAAACAGGGCCCAGGAAAACACCGAGAGCCCGCAGCCATGCAAGCCCAGCCACGCACATCCAGCGTGGCGCAATCACCAGCACCCTGCCTGGATGTGTGGCAGAGCAGGGAGCGCTCTGGTGGCAAGGGGTGTCCCCAGAGTCACGCTGTCCTCAAAGGCCATGGCCTCAAGGTAGTAGAGGTGGGCGCAAGGGACCAAGGGGTCAGCGGAGTCCTGATATGGGGGTGGTGTGGACAGGAGGGGCGATGGGGAGAGCCCTGCTGGTGCTGTGGGCCAAGGCAGTGTGGGAGGCAGCCATGGGGAAATGGTGGAGCTGCAGCACTTGCGCCACTGGCGCCTTCCGGGGCAGTGCAGCTCCAGCCCTGAAGAGGGTGGCTGTCATCACAGTGGGATGGGGACGCGGCTGGGGCTGGGGCAGTCCCTGCTGGGTCAGCTCAGCCACTGAGGGCTGGCACACAAACACTGGCCCTGGACATGGACACCAACCCATCCTCTGCCCCACATACCAGCCCCAGAGCATCAGCCCTGCTCTTTGCTCCATACCCCAACCCCAAAGCATCCCCCTATTCTTCCATGCACACAGCCCCACGTTCAGCCCCACAGTGCTGCTCAGGGGCAACCCCCGAACCTCTCGGTCTCTCTGGAGGAACTGGGCAAACCCAGGCATTGCGAAAGGTGGAAAGCCCGCTCTGACGGCACTTCCTTCAGAGGCTCTTGAAAACCCACCACACCACCCCGGGGCTCCCAGAGCGCCCAAGCGACGCCACAGGCAGCACAGGCAGGAGCAGGCAGCACTCAACAGGTACCAGCAGGTCTCTCCCCAGGTTCTGCAATCAGCCGTGGAGATGGCGTTTGTCCCCGATCTGGACATACTGGAGAGAAGCAGGTAAGCGTGGCCGTGCCGGAGGGGACGTGGGGCATGTGATGCCGCTGTGGTGGCCCTGGCTTCACCATCTCCCTTTGCCTTTTAGCCTGAATGAGGAGACGTTTTATGGCCCTGACTGCCTCTGCCTGCAGAAGGTAACACTGGTGTGGTGGAAAGGGTGAGACCCCTGTGTGGAGAAGCTGGGCTCTCACCCCACATCCCCTTTCTTCCCTAGAAACCACAACTGGACTTGGAAGTTGCATCTCCTGGGGTGGGCATCCAGGTGACAGTGACCAAGGGACACCCAGCCAGGACCTTTCGCCAGGCTGCTGTCCTTGTGGCGGCTGTGACCAAACCAGCACACAAGGAGTTTGCTGACAGTGACCTTGGGGACTTCCTGGATGATATTTTTGGTATGGGGGTGATGTCAGGGTGTCCACCCAGGTGGGGGACGCTCTTGCAATGGGGATCATCAGCATCCCCCTGTCTCCCTCCCCACAGAGCCCGTCTCCTTCCAGCGGATTAATGGCAGCTACGCTGGAGCACCCATCTATCGCTACACCCGCTCCCAGTCCTTCGACATCCTTGATATTGACCAGAAGTGCTTCGTGCTGGAGTCACCCACTCAGCTGGTGGCCCTGCACCTGCAGGGACCCTCTGCTGGGCGGAAAGGTAATGGGACACAGTCCTGACCCAATGTCCCCATCCCCAAACAGACCCAATGTTTCCAGGCCCACAGAGGTGCCATCCCACAGCTCCACAATCACCCTTTAACTCATTCCTTCTTTCTGCAGTCAAGCTCAACATCGCTCTGTACCGTCCTCAGTCATCACAGGGTGGCCCAGGGACTGGGCGGATGCCAGTGGCACTGGGCATCAAGGGCTACCAACTCTACATGTCGTGTGTGATGAGCGGTGCTGAGCCCGTGCTGCAGCTCGAGGTGAGCAGGGGGGGGTCCTGCTGGCACCATCTCAGATGGGTCTGGGGGCTCCACCTCACCCTGAGTCCCATCTCACCCCTCGCTTGTAGGAAGCTGACGTCAGGAGGGACATTGAGAGCGTGGAGCTGACCCGCTTCATCTTCTACCGCCTGGACAGCCCAGCCGAGGGCACCACACGCTTCGAGTCGGCTGCCTTCCCTGGCTGGTTCGTCTGCACCTCCCTGCAGCCCCGCCAGCCCGTCAGCATCACCAACCAGCCCGACCAGGTCAACATCGCCACTTATGAGCTGAGCAGGCACTGAGGAGCCCCTGCTCCCAACCCAACCCAACCCAACTGGCAGTTGCTGGTTCTCAGGCCGTATGTACCAAGTACAGATCCCAGTGGGACCCCCCATCCGCTCCATCTATTTCAGGTGAAATAGCATCTCTGGGCCCTGTTGGCCCGACCCACCCCCATTTGTACTTATTTATTGTGGATATCCAGTGTTTTTGTCCTTATTTATTGTGTAACACCTCTTGCTTTTAACTTATTGTATATTTTATTGGAAATATTGTGGTTTTGTTCTCTGGAATTTGTTGGTAATGGAGGTGGAAATAAAAGGTTTCTCAGACTGGTGTCTCACAGGGGTGAAATCATGGGGGGAGTGGTGTATGAATGGAGAAATCCTGCTGTTTCAGCTGCTTTCTGGGCTCTCCAGGCCCGGGTGCAATGCCTAGGGGGTGGAGGTCACCCCACAGCCTGCGGGCCTGGCTGGCACCAGCAGGATCTTCCCACAGCTGCGGGGTGGCTGGGTGGGTTTCCCACTGCAGCTGCGGCACCGTGGGACGTGGTGTGGCGTGGCATGTCCTGGTGTGGTATGGCCTGGCATAGCATGGTGTGATGTGGTGAAGCATTGCATGGCATCCTGTAGTATGCTGTGCCATAGTGTGGCCTGCCATGTTAAAGCCTCATGTGGAATTGATACTGGATTAAATTAGTAACTCACTGCATCTAGAGACAAGGCTATGAGGATTCCATGACCTCCAGGGGCCACTCCTCAGATTCACAGTGACTGTGCCGTGGCCCATTCTGCCCACATTCTCGTTAACATGAGGAATGGGAATTGGGTGGGAATTTCATGGCATTATAAGAAGTGTGTATATAATGAAGGTACATAAGCTGTGAACTGTCTCTTCTGGGTGCATGAGACAGGCAGAGAAATCCTCCAGCACCCGGTGCTGCAATAAAGTCATGTTGTTTTCTAACCTGTCATTCAGTGGGGCAGGGTGGCTGGAAGCTGCTCATAGAAAAGGACCTGGGGGTGCTGATTGATGGAGCAACTTGTGCACAGGCAGCCAAGAAGCCCCCAGCATCCTGGCCTGGAGCAGCACCAGTGCGGCAGCAGGGCCAGGGCAGGGATTGTGACTGGGGAGGCTGCACCTCGAACCCTGTGTTCAGTTCTGGGCCCTTCACTATAAGAGAGACATTGAGGGGCTGGAGCGGGGCCAGAGAAGGGAATGGAGCTGGAGCAGGGCCTGGAGCACAGGGGTGATGGGGAAGGGCTGAGGGACCTGGGGGGTTCAGATGGAGAAGAGAAGGCTCAGGGGGGACCTGATGGCTGCCTCCAACTGCCTGACAGGAGGATGGAGCCAGGAGGGGCTGGGCTCTGCTCCCAAGGAACAAGGGATGGGACAAGAGGAACCGGCCTCAAGCTGCACCAGGGCAGGTTTAGATGGAGCTGAGGAACAATTCCTGCCCCAGAGGGTGCTCAGGCATTGGAACAGGCTGCCCAGGGCAGGGTCCCTGCAAGTGCTCACACCCCCTCAGTGCCATGGGGCAATGGTGGCCTTGGCAGTGCTGGGAACGGTTGGAGCTGATAACCTTGAAGGTCTTTTTCAACCCCATTGATTCTGTGATTCTGGTTGGAGTGTTTATTTTCCGGAGTTTGATAACGATATAGTCTGGCATGACATGGCATGGCATGGCATGATGTGGCATGGCATGGCCTAGCGTGTCGTTCCGTGGCATGGTGTAGTGTGGAATGCTCTGGCACTCGAGGTGCTGGGGCACGGCATGGCCAGGCCCGGCGCGCCATGACACCACGCGACCAGGACCTGCTGGCGCCGGGCGCCACCTCCCTCCTTCAGCACGTCCCGCCTCGCGCCCCATGATTGGTGAAAACCAGGTCTAATGGACGTGGCTGCAGCCAATGAGCTTCCCCTACCCCAGGCCCCGCCCATGTCCTTGCTCCCCTCACTGTCTTGTTACCGCACCCCTGCCCGCCGTTAGCCAATCACAACTCCTCTTGCCCGCCGACCCCGCCCGGAGCCGGCGGTTTCTCGCTTTCCATTGGTCGGTTTGAAGACGGCGTTCTCCAATAAGTGCTGCGCGGCGGTTGGTGGTGGATGTTTGACATGGAGCGGGTTGGGAAGGCTCCTCAGGGTGAGCGGCCCGGGGCTCTTGGTGGGGCTGGGGAGGCCGGGTGCGATGGGAGGTGCTGGGGAGCAGGGGCCGGTCTGGTCTCGGGGCTCTGTGCGGAAGGGGCGCGGGTCACCCCGTTGGTACGGGCCGGGAGTGGTTCGGGCCATCGCGACCGGCCCTGGGCTGGGGCTGTCCCGAGGCTTGGGTGGGGTGCAGAGGGGCGGGAGCACTGGGTCACTCTGTGGAAGCCTTGAGGGGCAGAGGGGCTGAGACACCCACAGAGCTCAGGGCATAGGCTCTGTTCGTCAGGTGAGCGTTGCACAGCCCCTGGGGATGGGCCAGGCTGTCCTGAGCCTAAGGTACTGCAAGGCCAGAGGTGTCAGAGGTATCCCCTGTCACCCCCCCTGCACTGAGACGCTCTTGCTTCCCACCAGCCTGTGCTAGCAGTGGGCTTGGCCACAGCACGTACAGGCTTATGGGATGCACAGCTGAAGCAGGGCCATTGGCAGCATCTTCCCCTTCCTTTTGAAAGTTGCCCAAGCCCTGCACAACTGAGGTTTTAAGCAGCATCACCCTGCGAGTGCTGGAGAGCTCTGGTCATGTACCAATGAGCCTTTGGGCAGCACTGGGTGCTGGAAGCAGCATCGCCAGGCTCAGGTGGGGAGCGGTACAGTAATGCTGTGAGTGTAAACCACATTCATTCTGATCCAGCACTGAGGTTGTTGTGTGTGCACTGCATTTCCTACCATCTCTTTGCAGAAGAGCAGAGGAGACTGCTCCAGGACTCTGCCGCAGCCAGAGGAAAGCCAAAATGCCCGAGTGCAAAGTAAGTCAGGAGGACGCTGGGCTTGGATGAGGTGTTCTGTAAAGGTCCTTTCCAGCACAAAGCACTTCGTGATTCTGAGGTGTAGATGGTGTTTTCCTGCTTTGCTAGGGTCTGCTGTACAAAGAACACCTCCTGCCTGTGCCTCGCTGCCAGATCAGTGCCTGGGACAGCCCCATGGCATCCAGCAGGGCTCTGTGGAGTTCCTGGCAGCAGAGGCAAAGGGATGGTTTGAGTGTTGATGAATGCTGACATTTCCTGCTGGTGGATATTGTCCTTTCCATGTATTTTCTGAGCCTCTGTGAAAATTTCTCATCCCAGTGCTTGGCTCTGGCAGCATCAGCCTTTGTGCCAACAGCTCGGCTTCCTAGCTAGGTCTTGAATAAAGGGTGGCTCACGTCTCATTGCTGCTTTTTAATGGCCCTTTCATTAGGAAGGGGCATTTTCAGTGCATTTAGAAAGTCCCAGGCATGTGTTCAGGGAGTCACCTTGCTCTGCCTTGCTTGGTTCTTCTGGAACCAGCCTGTGTGAGGGCAGCGAGGCACCTTCCTGCTGAGCGTGGCAAACCTGAACACTTGAGAGACTCCCTGTTGCAGTGAGTATTCCTCATGACACTGTAGTGCAGGGGAAGCTGCAAACCTTCTAAGTGGGGGAAAAGATAAAGGCAAATGGGATCCGAGACCAGAAAGAGCAAAACGGTCCCTGGTACCAGGGCTCTGGAAAACACCACTGAGATAACAGAAACGATCAGAGAAGATTCATCTTTCATTCTGGCTTAGTGCACCACTTGCATAGAGGACAAGCACCTAACTCTCTGGGCTCTTTCATTACAGGAAAAAGTCTGCACAGGCATTAATCTTCCCTAACAGCTGAGCTGCAGGCCCCGGAGCATGGGGTGGGAGAACCACACCACTGCCTGCCTTTCAGGGAGGAGGAGGAGGAGGGCAGGATGAGGGCAGCTGACAGCCAGCGCTGCTCTCCCACCTCCCTGCTCTGCTCCCAGTGCCTGGGCAGCTGTGGGGCTGCAGCTCGCTGCGACACACTAAACTCTGGGGTGCTGCTGTGACCTGCAGCGGGAGCCCCCAAACCTGCAGACCCACTGCCTGCAGGAGTTGTTGTGCTTGCTTGTATTGCCAGTGGTCTTGTGGCAACATGGGGTGTCAGTCATAGAATCATGGAACAGTTGGGGTTGGAAGGGACCTTCAAAAGTCATCTAGTCCAACCCCTGCAGTGAGCCGGTGCTTCATCTAGATCAGGTTGCCCAGAGCCACATACCGGATGGGGCATCCCCCACCTCTCTGGGCACGCTGTGCCAGTGTTTTACCACCCTCACTGTACAGAATCTCTTTCTCGCATCCAGTCTGAGTCTTCCCTCTTTCAGTTTAAATCCATCACCCCTTGTCTGGTCACAACAGGCCCTGCTGAAAAGTCTCTTCCTATCTTATAAGCCCCCTTTTAAGAGCTGAGAGGCTGCATTAACATCTCCCTGGAGCCTTTTCCAGGCTGAACAACCCCACCTTTCTCAGCCTTTCCTCACAGGAGAGATGCTCCATCCATCTGATCATTTCTGTGGCCTTGTCTGGACTCTCTCCAACAGGTCCATGTCTTTCCTGTACTGAGGCCTTCAGAGGTGGGTGCAGGACTGGTTTGTGCTGCTTTTTGGGTACAATATGGTACTTCCTTGGTAGCTCTTTGGTTTCCAAAAGCTTCTTCTAGCTCCTGTGACTGAGACATCAGTGGTTTTGTGCAATAGCTGTTAAATGCCTGCTATTTATTTTACTTCCTACAGACCCTTTTTAAGGGACCAGACGAATCGCCCGAATCCTCCCTTACAACCAGCTTCTAAACTGCAGCATGTAAGTAGAAATCTTTTGAGTCTGGTTTTGTGCTTAAAGGGAGTCTGGGCTAAACAGGGTCCCCAAATGAGAGTTGTGAGCTCCTGACCCCGAGCAGGGTCTGCAGCCTGGTGTTGTTCTGTTGACAGGCGCTTTGTCACCCCCGGGCTGGCAGGGTTGGGGCAGGACTGACCTGGGGTTCACTTGTTGTCTCCAGGTTGACGGGAACAAGAAGGATGTTCTTGGGCACAAGGGGAAGGGTGATGGTGAGGTCGGTGCCAAACCCAAGTGGCGTGCTGGCCATGCTGTGCAGAAGTCTTCAAGCACGTCCCAGAGAGCAGCAGTGGCACATCCAGAGCAGCCGAGGAAGGGTGCAAATCTCCCTGTGAGCCACCCTGCACGGAACAGAGTGAGGCTCCCAAGTGCAAACTGTGGTCACCTAAATCCAGACAGGACCAAGAAGCCTGCGCAGGAGCCTGACCCCACTGCAGCACCTCCGACTGGAAGGGACCCCCCCTCTCCTGGGGCAGCGTGCTCTCCAAACGAGGGTCTGGAGGACAGGCTGGTGTGCAACAAAGAAAACGACCGTGCACAGGCCTTCGCACACATCTTGGCTCACAGGCAAAGCTCAGCCCCAAAGCCAAGAGCAGTCGCGGGCCCAAAGGGCAGAATGAATAGCTGCCAGCTTAAGGAAGAGCCACTTGAGGATAAATTCAGGAAAACCTTGCTAGTCTCAAAGAGCACGTCTCAAAACCCGAGCAGCAAAACTCAGCCGTTGCAGCCCCCTCAGCCACTCACTGCGTCTGCTCATGGGAAGGCTTCACCTAAAGGAAGGCAGCCCCCAGAGAAGCCGCTGCGCTGCACATTTCCAGTGGGAAGTCGTGAGCACCAGAGCAGACCCCCTCAAATCAAAAGATCTCCCACAAAGCCTCTGGCCTCTGGCAGGCCCCAGGGCTCCACAAACCTGAAGCCAGGTGGCACTGTGCCGTGGCAAGAGTCCCTGCCTAAAGGGGGGGTGGATAGGGGGGGCATGAAGGTGATGCCTCCCAGAGGTGCAGCAGCATCCCAAGTGACAGTCCCCCAAAACCAGCCTTGCAGCACACAGGGCTCCAAAACTCAAGCAACTGAAGGCAATTTCAGGAAGAGAGAGTACCTTAAACCAGAGCTGCCAAAGGCAAGTGGCATACAGGCGAGGTGTGTTCCCAAGAGCCTGTCAGCAGCAGATCGCAGGTAAGTATCAGCTTTGGCCAACTCTGCCCTTTCTTTAAGCTCTGCTGTCCCCTGGAAGTGTTCAACTGGGTGAACCTGCACCAATCTGCTGAAAACAGGGTCCGAAGCCCCCTTTACTTGTGAACTGTGTGAGGCTGATGCCCCAGAAAAGAGGAGGGTGGGTTTGAGGTTCAGTGCCGCCTTGGGTTCGTCTGCGACCCACTGAGGATAGATGTTCTCCCCAAGCTGCTGAAGTTGGCTAGAGGGAGATTCCCAGGGAAAACAGCAGCCTGGCAAGTGCTGGTGCTCTGCTGGGGTGGTGACAGTGATTCCTGGGTCTTTTGACAGGAAACAGCTGGAAGAGTGGTTGGCATCCAAAGGCAAGATGTACAAACGGCCACCTATGATGCTGCTTCAGAAAAAGGCAGTGAAGCTGCCCTGCAGAAATGTCAAGGAGAAGGAAAAGCAGGATAAATTGGAGGAGGAGCATTGCTTGGAGAAGATCAACCATGTATTAACTGAGTGCTTGAAGCTCATTGAGGAGGTGAGAATGGGAAAGAAGCTGCTTGGATGGGCTCCTCTTGCCCTGGAGCTTCCGGGGAGATGAGGGTAGGGCCATGTTCCCCCAACAGCACAGAGGGGGTTGGAGCAAATGTTCATGCTGGGCTGCAGTTGCCAGAGCGGTCACATCTCAAGTCCTCAAGGAGTTATGGGTGTGCCAAAGGCATGCAGTACAGTGGGGCAGATGGAGCCATACCTGGTCACGGGGGACACGTGTGTGTCATTGCTGGTGTGTGGCAGGGGACTCTGCAGCAGCAACCCAGGCTGGCTTGAGGCATGTCCCTGGGGGACATCACAGCCAGTGTGCAGCATCACCTCTGGGAGCACTGACCACCAGCCCTGCTCTGGGGTTTGGTGACTCTGTTAGTGCCAGCACTGAGGAACTTATCCCTCAACATCCCTCCGAAATACCACACTCATTTCACAAGGGGTAAAACTGAGGCAGGAAAACTATGGCATGTCCATGGTCACATTGAAGAGCTGCCCCTTCAGACCCTCCCTTCGCTAGCGAGCACTGGGAGAGTGGTTGTGCACCGGCAGCTTCCTGGTGCACACCTCTGGCCCTTGCAATTGACGCTTGCCCCTGGGACCTTGCCTTCCTCGCAGGGTGTTGAGACCGAGGAGGTCCTGGAGGTGCTGTCCCATGTGCCCCAGGCGGAGAAATTTGCCAAGTTCTGGATCTGCAAAGCGAAGCTGCTCACCCGGAGCGGCCCCTTTGATGTGACAGGGCTGTACAGAGCTGCGGTCTGTGCTGGCGCTGCGGTAAGTGAGGCACGTCTCTCCCTGCAGGAGCACATCTCCAGATCCCAAGGTCGGATGCTGGGATGACTTCAGCAGCATCAGACACTTGGGAGAAAAAGCCCTTTAGAGCTGCTGGTCCCACTTTGACACCTTTGGCTTCACTCAGCCTAGCCAGCAGCTCTTTGCGGGTGGGAATGGGGCCAGGAAGCATATGCACCCTGTGCTGTGTTGGAGCTGTAGCTGGAGGTGATGTGCCAGCAGCTCAGTGCTGGTCTGGGCAGCACAACCGCAGCATGTGGTGGGGTTTGTGGCTGAGCCTGTGTTGACAGCTTGCCCTTGGAGAAGGGGAATCCTGCAGCCTTTTGCCACTGTCTTCAGCATGGATGAAGTAAAAAGCTTTTCTCCTGTTTGGTTGTAACTGTGGCCTCCATTCCCAAGTCAGGCCTGCCTTGACCTACACTCTGCTTTTCCTACAGCCACTGCAGGAGCTCAGAGAAGTTATCCTTAACATCCTGAAGACTGCAGACCAAATACCAGAAGGTAATATGTGCATGTGAGGCCACTGGAGCATGGGCAGGCAGGGGTTCCCTGGTTGCTGCAGGCAGGGAAGCAGCACGGTTTGCACTCTGTCCCAGCACCCTTGGCTCTGATGGAGACTGTTGTGAAAGTCCAGAGTTTCCATCTCAAAAGTGGGGCAAGATTTCTGTGCCAGGGCTGGGGATGGGCCTGGCCCAGCATGACGCTGTAGTGAGATGCCCTCGCTGTGGCTGGAGCATGTTCTGCTCCCTCCCCTGCTGCCCTGTTCTACCCTCTGCAACTGCGCTGCCGTTTGCCTCTCCTGTCAGGGGAAAAGCCACAGCCAGGCCCTGAGGAGCCCACGAGCCCCAGCAAGAGGCAGCACATGGCAGTGACTCCCTGCCTGCCAGGCAGGTCCCTGAGCAGCCTGCCTGCTTCAATCAAGCTACAGGTTACCTCTGTCCCCAGGTAAGGCCGAGCTGCCCGCTCCTGGCACCAAACACCCGTGTGCCCGTGCTCACTGCAGGGTTCACCTAAAGGCTTCTTCTGTGCAGGGTAAAGGAGCTACCACAAGGCCCAGAGCTGAAATTCCTGACGCCTGTGCGGCGCTCGGTGCGCATAGAGCGGGTTGGGAGCAGCTACCCGGCGCTGCTGAAGGACCATGACCCTGTGGTGTCGTCCCTCAGTGAAATCCTGGATGCTGAGGAGGAGACTCAGTTCTTCTTCAGGAAAAACAAGGCTCTGCCAGAGGTGACGGAGCTGGAGGGGCTCAGTTCGTACCCCCCTGACAGCTGCTGAGGGATTCCCAGCAGGGTGCAGGCTTTTTGCTGCCCTGCACTTCACATTCTTCTTGTTGCCTATCAACTGTAAAATACGTATGTGTTGTACATGATAAGCCTCTTTTAAATATATAAGTGCTGTTCTGAATAAACTCTGTGTGGATTGGGTGTGGAGTGGGGCACGGGGGTGTCCCCTGGGCCTGCCCGTGGCTGCTTGGCTGGGATTTTTCCTGCAGTGGGATGTCAGTCTGGCTGTGGAACCTCCTGGGTTCAGAAACTGGTTTGGGTTGGAAAAGGCCTTAAAGCTCCTCCAGCTCCAACCCCTGCCACAGGCAGGGACCCCTTCCACTGAAGCAGCTTGCTCCAACCTGGCCTTGAGCACTGCCAAGGATGGGGCAGCCACAGCTTCTCTGGGCACCCTGTGCCAGCGCCTCAGCACCCTCACAGGGAAGAGCTTCTGCCTCAGAGCTCAGCTCAGTCTCCCCTCGGGCAGGTTCAAGCCATTCCCCTTGGCCTGTCCCTACAGGCCCTTGCCCCAAGCCCCTCTCCAGGTTCCCTGCAGCCCCTTTAGGCCCTGGAGCTGCTCTAAGGCCTCCCCTTCAGGAGCCTTCTCTTCTCCAGGCTGCCCCAGCCCAGCTCTCTCAGCCTGGCTCCAGAGCAGAGCTGCTCCAGCCCTCGCAGCAGCTCCATGGCCTCCTCTGGCCTCACTCCAACAGCTCCAGGCCCCTCTTGTGCTGCTGCCCCAGAGCTGGATCAGGGCTGCAGGGGGGGTTCTCCCCAGAGCACAGCAGAGTCCCCTCCCTGCCCTGCTGCTCGTGCTCGGAGGGTGCAGCCCCATTTGCAGTGCCCCATAGCAGCCCCCAGGGGCTCTCCCCCAGCCAGACACAGGCGGCTGCTGAGGCTGGCACCAGTTTCCCTGTGCTGAGGAGGTGAAAGGGAGCCCTGATGCTATCTCCTGGTCTCCAGCAAGCAGTGATCCTGTCCTCAGCACCTCCTTTTGCCTCCTCCCAACACAGCCACCACCAGCATTGGCTCAGCACCTTTATTGAGAAACGTTGATGCTGGGCAAAGCCTTGGAGCAGCATCAGGGTGTCCCAGCACGGGCCTGGCTCCATCCTGAGGCTTCCAAGGGGGTGCAGAGCACTGCTGGTGGGGAGCACTGCCCTCAGAGCTGCCCCTCTCAGCCAGGGGCTTGCACTTGCCTGCGTTTTCCTTCAGAACAGAGAACTCTTCCTCTCGTTGTGCAGGAGTTTGAGATCTTATAAATAGGAAAGGGCAGAGGGAGAGAAGGGCCAGGGCAGGGGAAGGGAACCCTGGGGAGCAGCAGTCGCCTCCAGAGCCCTCCAGGCTTGAGCAACCTCTGCTGCTGGAGGTGCTGCAGGGACCAGGGACACCCCCAGCGATGCTCCCAGTGATGGGAGGAACTGGGGCACCCGGGGGGCCAGGAGTGAGAGCAGGAGCCCCGGGCAGCCCCATGGCCACCGAACACCTTCCTAGGGCCCAGCCGCTGGTGCTGGGGTGAGCTCAGGCTTCTCCATCCTCCTCCTCCTCCCTGCTGGAGCCCTGCGGGACAGAACCAACCTGAGGCCAAGGAGCGGGGGCAGTGGGCACAGGAGCTCACAGCACCAGGGTGCTGGTGCTGGGCATCCAATGGGCTCATCCCTGTGCCTCACCTGCGGGCTGGGGTGGCCGTGCCGGGCCAGCCACGGTGCCAGGGCAGTGCCAGCCTCCCCCCCGTCCCCACGGCCGTGCTCCACCGTGGACTCGTGAGCCATCTACATGGGGAGAGGCTTTGAGAGGGGCCAGTGCCCACCCAACGCCTCCCAAGGGGAAACTGAGGCCCGAGCGGCTCACCAGGACCGGGGGGGCCCGGAAGAGGTAACTGAAGGGGTAATAGAGGAAGTTGATGAAGGAGGCGGCGTAGAGGTCTGCGTAGCGCATCAGCTGGCTGGCGAAGAGCGTCTGGCGCGAGCCGCAGCGGAAGAGGCTGCCCATCTTCCCGTAGCACATGTCCATCTCGTGCGTGACTTTCTGCGGGTGCAGCGGGATCAGGGCACCCAGCGCCGCGGCGCCGTTGGGTGCAGGAGCGCGCCCGTGACCCCGGGCATCACCTGGATCCGACGCTTGATGGAGCTGATGTCCGGGCGCTCGCTGCTGCCGCTGTCCAAGTGCCTGCAGTGGGACAGACCCCGCTGGAGGGTCCCCCAATGGGTGCCCACACCCCCCTTCTGCTTCCCGCAGCCTGCCCCATGCCCACTCACTGGTACAGCTCCGCCAGGAACAGATCCAGGCTCCGCAGCTCCTCAAACAGCTCTGCAAGCACAATGGGGCCGGCTCAGCACACAGCATCACAGTACCCCAGTATGTTAGAGATTGGAAGGGACCTCAAAGGCTCATCCAGTCCAATCCCCCTGCAGAGCAGGAACACCTGGATAAGGTTACACAGGAACGTGTCCAGGCGGGTTTTGAATGGCTCCAGAGAAGGAGACTCCACAACCTCCCTGGGCAGCCTGTTCCAGTGTTCTGTCACCCTCACTGAGAAGAAGTTTCTTCTCCAGTTTAAGTGGAACCTCTTGTGTTCCAGTTTGCACCCATTGCCCCTTGTCCTATCATTGTTTGCCACTGAGAAGAGCCTGGCTCCATCCTCGGGACACTCCCCCTTTATATATTGATATACACTAATAAGGTCACCCCTCAGTCTCCTCTTCTCCAAACTATAGAGACCCAGCTCCCTCAGTCTTTCCTCATAAGGGAGATGCTCCACTCCCTTCATCATCTCAGTTGCCCTGCGCTGGACTCTCTCCAGCAGGTCCCTGTCCTTCTTAAACTGAGGGGCCCAGAACTGGACACAATATTCCAGATGGGGTCTCACCAGGGCAGAGTAGAGGGGAAGGAGGACCTCTCTCGACCTACTAACCACCCCCCTTCTAATACACCCCAGGATGCCATTGGCCTTCTTGGCCACAAGGGCACAGTGTCGGCTCATGGTCACCCTGTCGTCCACCAGGACCCCCAGGTCCCTCTCCCCTACACTGCTCTCTAACAGGTCGTTCCCCAGCCTATACTGGAACCTGGGGTTGTTCCTGCCCAGATGCAGGACTCTACACTTTCCCTTGTTCTATTCCATCATGTTATTCCCCGCCCAACTCTCCAGCCTGTCCAGGTCCCTCTGGATGGCAGCACAGCCTTCAGGCGTGTCAGCCACTCCTCCGACACACCAGAATCAGCACAGGCAGCATCCCCCCTGCCCGGCACAACCAACACGGGCTTGTCCCACTGGGGCTGGTCTGGCCATCAATGCAGGGGGGGGGAAGGAGGCTCCAGGCCCCCCCTGGTCCTCCCAAGCTCTGCTCACCGCTCTTCTCCGTCCAGACCTGCAGCTCGCGCGCCAGCTCGGGCACCACCAGGAAGGTTCGCCAGCCCTGCCGCTTCTTGGACTTGAGGATGTCCCCGAAGATGTGGTCGCCCATGTAGAGAATTTCCTTGCCCTTCACGCCCAGCAGGTCACAAACCACATCCGAGGAGCCTGCGAGAGCCGGGCATCAGGGCCTCAATGCAGGAGCATCCCCCCCGGGCTGCCCATGGAGCCCTGCTCACCGCCAGAGTAGACGGTGCAGTGCTGGAGGGGGCCCGTGTAGGTCCCGATGCGCAGCTTCCCCGTGTCCTGCGAGACAACAGCAGCCCAGGAACCATCCCTGGTGCCCATCCTGGGGTCAATCCCCCCTGCAGTGCCCCGACCCCCCCCACGGCCCCACCGTGTTCACTTGGCGCAGGACGGTGCCCTCGGCAAAGAAGAGCGGTTTGCGGGTGTCCACCACGATCAGATCAAAGTAGGATCTCCAGGGGCGCTGTGCGGTCCCAGCCTGGCAGGGGGGTGTCAGCGAGGGGCTGCGTGTGGCACCCCACAGCGCCCTCCACCTCCTGGTGGGGACGGACTCACCTTGTCCCCATCCCCGAAGTCAAACAGGTAGGACATGATGGCCTGCGGGGACACCCAGCATCGTGCCCCTGTCAGCCCCCAGCCTGTGCCGTACCCCCCGGGGTGGGATGCACACACACACAGTGCCCCCCACTCACATCGGTGTAGTTGTAGTCGCTGTTGGTGGCCAGGAAAACCTTCCCCACCTCCTTCATGCGGCTCAGCAGCAGCGGCACACGGGGCTGGTAGGGGCAAGTCAGCACTGGGGGACCGGGGCGGTGTGGGGAGGGGGGGCCCACAGACACTCACATCCTTCACCACGTATTTCTCCAGGTTCTCCAGAGTCTTCTCCTTCAGGCAGCCCTGCGGAGGGGATGGGGATGGAGGGGGGGGGGGGTCTGGCATCCCCAGGGCCCTCAGCATCTCCTCCCCCAGTAAAGCCCCCCGGCCCTCACTGAGAGGTGGACGTGGTCCATGGCCTCCCGCACATCCTGGAACATGCTGCGGAAGGACATGAAGAGGTTCCCGTGCTTGTAGCCGGTGTCGCAGCTGCAATGGTTGGGAAAACGGGGTGGGGGGGAATGTGAAGGGGCTGCTCTTCCAAGTGAGACCCCCCCCAGTCCCTCCCCAGTACCGGGTCCCCCCCCATCTCCCTCTTACTTGGTGTATCTGGAGCAGTTGGTGAAGAAGTCCACGAGGCAGGCGTAGAGATGGGCCTCTGGGGGGGAGAGGGGTGAAGGGGGGCACAGGGGCTGGGTGGCAGCACCCACCGTGCTGGGGGGGGGCTCATGGTGGGGGTGCCTTGCTCACCTGTGAGGTTGAAGAGGGTGTTGAGGATGTGGAAGCGCTTCATGTCATCCCTCTGGATGAACTTGTTGGGGTAATAGTGCAGGATTTCAGCCCTGGGGGGTGGGGGGGGAGCATGGAGCTGCAGCCCGCACCAAGGGCCCCCCCCGCACCCCCATCTCTATGGGGGTCCCAGCCTCACTCACCCCTTGAGGAAGCGGAAGCCATGGGCACAGACCAGCAGGTTCCCGTGGGAATCCACTTTGAGCAGGTTCCCATAGAGGGCATCGAACACCAGCCCCCTGCGCGCACACCCCATCAGCGGGGGGGTCCCCACCTAAACCCCCCCCCCCCCCCGCACTCAGCCCCTTGGACGCCCCTCACCGTGTGGGGAAGGTGGGGTCGTATTTGTAGGCGAGGATCTCGGGGGGGTACCCGATGGACACCAGGTGCTGCAGCAGCAGCGCAAAGGCCAGCTCCTCGTAGTCGGGGGACTTGTACACTGCACATGGGGGCAATGGGGGGGGTAGGCAAGGGAATGGGGGGAGTCACCCCAACCCACCCCCTCCATGCTCCCCAGACCCACTGGCCAAGGTGTAATCCATATCGAAGCCGAAGCATTTGATCTTCTCCAGCGCCAGGCTCCGGTTCACAAAGATCCTGGGGGTGATGGGAGGGTTATGGGCTGCGGGGGGGTGGCATGAGGAGGGGATGGGGGCCGGCCCCCCCCTCTCCCCCATCCCTGGACAAGGGCCCCACAGTGAGTTATTGGAGCAGAAAAATGGGCTTTTGAGCTGGAAAAGGAGCCGGAGGGGGGGCGCGAAGGGGGTTGGTGCCCCCCGTGTTTGCCTCCCCCACCCGGCAGCGTTACATGGGGGCCCCCAGGGCCTCTGTCCCCTCCTCACCCCCAACGTCCTTCCCTCATCTCCTGCACCCCCTCCCAGTGCCCCCCCCATCCCCGCGGCTCCCGCTCCCACCGGTGCAGGCAGTCCCTCCGCAGCGCCCGGGGGTCTCCCTGCCCCGGGCCGCGCTCCCCTTCGCTGCCCATTGCCGCCGCCTCGGGCCGGCGCCTGTGACCGCCGCCGCTTTAACGGGGCCCCGGGGACCGCCCCGACCCGGCCCCCGGCCCGGCCCCCACCACCCCCCCACCCCCGGCGCTACAGCAGGGACGGGACCTGGGGCACCCCGGGATGGGGACCCCCACAATGGAGCGGGAGATGGGGACCCCCCAGTGCCCTTCCATGGAGCAGCGCCCCCCGGGAACCACAACAGGGGGTCCCCCTCCCCAGCGCCCCCGCGGTGCCCCCCCTGGGGCCGGTGTTTGCCCGACGGTAGCGGGGGGCGACCGGCGGCGAATCATTAACCGGGGTCAAGGACCGGCCCCGCTGCCGCCCCGATGGGCGCCGCGGGGAGGGGCTGGCACCGGGGACCCTGCCCAGCACCACGCACCCGAGGGACGGGACCCACGTCCCGGTGCCCGTGGGAAACGGGCACATCCCGGGGGGTCAGAGCCCTGGGGGGGGTGCCCCATCCCTTCAGCCCAGGGATCCCAGAGGCACGAAGCTGCCCCCCAAGGGCCGGTGCCAGCCGCAATCAGCGGCTGCTCTTGCAACAGCCCGGGGTGACGCGGTCCCAGCGCACGGCCCTGACCCGGGAGGGAGCATCCATAGGATGGGGACATGGAGCAGAGGCACAGCTGCTGCCATGGGGCTGGCAACAGGGCGTCACCAACAGACACCCCCGCCACACACACACCCCAGGTGTGGGGCACTGATAAACCCCCCCCGGGCTGTTCAGACCCAGTCCCGTGACACCAGGAGAGAAGCGGGGCTCTTATCAGGCAGTCAAGTCCCTGCTCCCTCCCAGGGCACGGGGCCAAGCAGAAGCCATGGGGCAGGATGTGAGTGCCAGGGGCAGGACAAGGGGCCCTCTCCCCCCACCCCAGCACAGAGGCAGCGCTGGCGTACGAAGGAAACCTTTATTGAGTCCGAGGTAGCAGCGCGGGGGGGCATGGGCGGGCAGGGGCTGCCCCCCAGGGGGTGGTTGGGCAGCAGCTGGTGTCCACACCACGACAGCAATGGAGGCAAAGCTGAACACAGCACAGCCCAGGGGGGCACGGACACCCCCAGGCCCTGCCCCGGGGGGCAAGGACCAGCCCCAGTCCTTACTGAAGGAGGAATCACTGCCAGGGGACCTTAATAAGTCATTAAACTGAAGAGAGTGGCTCCCCATAACTGCTAATCTAAAGCTACAGCGCAGCAGGGGAGGCACGGGGGGGGCAGGCGCTGCCCCCCAGCAACTGAGCTCCGGGACACGGCCATTAGAAAACGAACATGAAGATACTTCAGTGACAACACAGGGCAGGACTGAAGCAGCCCCAGAGGTGACGATGCCCCCAGCTCCCAGGGCAGGGGCATGGGCATGGGCAGGAGCAGCGCGAGCACCGACGTCCTCACACCTTGAGCACGGCAAACTTGAACAGAGCCATGATGGCAGCGCTGATGAGCCCCGAGATGGGCACGGTGACGAACCAGGCCATGAAGATGTTGCGGAAGAGGCGCCAGTCCACGGCCTTCTTGGAGCGCAACCAGCCCACCGAGACCACGGAGCCCACCTGCACGGGGACCACGCTCAGCACTGCCCCAGAGCCCGGTGTGGAGCTGCCCCCCTGAGCAGGGCCAGGGCACTGCGGCCCCCCCTGTTCCCACAGCTCCATGAAAGGGGTTTTGTCCTTAAATCGCCCCTCTGAGTGTCCCCGCACCCAGGGACTCCCCCCTCCAGGCTTGGGCAGCCGCTGCCCCCCCTGCATTGAGATGCAAATGGAAGAGCTGAAGGGCAGCCAGGGCCTCCTGCACAGCTCAGCCTGGTTAGTGCCAAGCTGGGGGGGGGGGGATGAGCTTGCCCCCAGCTGAAGCTGGCCCCTACCTACCTTGCAGTGGGTGGTGCTGATGGGGAGGCCAACGTTGGAGGCAATCACTACCGTCAGGGCAGACGCCAGCTCGATGCTGAAGCCACTGCAAAGGCACAAAGCGCATGAGAAGGAGGGCACCGGCTGCCCTTCACTGCCCAGCACCCAGCAAGCTCCTCACTTGGCTCTCCAGACCCCCCCCAAGGGGTGCAGAGGAGGCATTACTGTGCCATGCTCACCCCAACTCCACCATCCAAGCAGTGACACCCCCAAGAGAGAAGGGAGAGGGCTTCAGGAGCGGGATGCAGCTTCAGGCCTGCCTGAAGCCTCCCCTCTGCCCCACAGCAAGGCCTTACCTTGATGGTGTGATGGGTGTCAGGTCCTTCCCCATTGTCTGGATGACTCTCCTTCCCCAGACCCACAAGCCGATGCAAATCCCTGCACCCCCGTAGAGCAACAACCAGATGGGAGTTGCCACTGTGGTAGCCACATCGCCCGTCTGATAGACCAGGTACAGTGCGACCAGAGGCCCTATGGCATTGCTGGAAGGGAAAGGAGATCTGGTCTAGAGGACCAAAGGCTCGGGTCAAGGAGGGCACCATGAACCCGCTGACCCAACTGACCTGACATCATTGCCACCATGAGCGAAGGAGCCGAAGCAGGCTGTGAGGATCTGCAAGAACTGGAAGAGCAGGGACACCTCGGGCTTGTCCTGGTCCTGCCATTCCTCCAGGGAGCCGCTGCTGCCCTTGCGGTTGCCGATGCCCAGCTCCGCCTGGGCTGTGTTCAGGTCCACGTCAGCAGCCGGGTGGGCGTCAGCCACGGCGTTGCAGTAGCTGGTGTAGCTGTCCATGCGGACCCTCTTCTTGGTGTCCGCCACGGGCCACGTCAGCTTCTCCATGTCCTCGCTGTCCCTGGCGCGGAGCGAGTCCAGGGGCATGCCGCAGATGGCCATGGTGTAGGAGGTGTAGCTGTTGTTGCGCCGCAGCGGCTTGTCCCCCGAGTCCCCCATGCAGTCCCCCATCTTGGCCAAGTGCAGTTTGTGCAGCAGCTCCTTGTAGAGGCCCGAGTCCTTGTGCACAGTGTGGTACTGGTACTGCCCGCTGGAGCTCAGCTGGTGGCCCACAGCCTGGTTGAACTGGACCAGGTTCCCATTGGGCAGCCGCACAGCTCCTGGCAAGGGACACGGCCTGGGTTGAGCACCCTGGGGTGGGGGGAGACCGCCCAGCACCCCCATAGCACCCCCCAGCACTCACCACTGTCAATGCTGGTCTCCTTCAGGTCAAGGCTGGGGAGCTGCTCCTGCTCCGGGGCCTCCTCCAGGTCCCCCAGGTTGAAGGAGACCGTCCTGTCCTCCACCGGGGTGCGCTGGGGCGCAGCCGGCCCTGCATCAGCCACAGGGCTCTTAGCATCGCCCAGAGGCACCTTGGGCTCCTCCTGCTCCTCCTTGGGGCTGATGTTCTTCTCCATCAAGGGGCTCTCAGAAGGACTCGACTTGATTTCTCCTGTGAAGGGAGGCAGGTGCCATCAACCCCTTTACCACCACTGCACCCAAGGCCGGGAGCCAGCCCATGGCCCTCGCCATGCACATTTATGGTGGCTAAATAAAATATACAGCTTCGCCCCATCCTGAACTTTGGAAGCTGCTGGGCAGTCGCACCCTGGCCCGGGCACAGCCGCCAAACAGTCACAAGCCAACTCATCTCCTATTTATAGACCCCCACCACCCACACGGGGTGTGGTAAGCACCATTATGGGGCTTTTATGCCCGTTTTTCCTATGGCAGAGGCCATGTTTGTCCCATCCCCAGTTCCCGGCAGCCGTGGGATGCTCTGCAGTGGCTGTGACCCCTGGAGCCAATGGAAAGGTACCAAGGAGAACCTGGCCCTGCCAGCCCATCAGCTCCAGCCCGCCCGGGCTCCTCTCCAGCTCCCACTGGTGGGTGACAAACCCAAACAGGAGCTGGTCCCCACCTCCGGAGGGCAGCCTGGTTTCCTGTCCCACTGGAAAAGCCAAACTACAGCCCCAAGCCCTGGAAACTGAGGCTGTTCCTCCCCCTCTCCCGGAACAGCATGTTTTTCTCCAGGTGAAAACATGAGGCCAGCTCCTTCGTACAACAACAGAAATCACCCCCTGGTCACAAACATGACCTGCTCCCTGTAAGGGCCAGGCTGTGGCCTCCAGCCCCTCAGCCTGGCATCAAGCCCCTGCAGCAATGCTCTCCTTGCAGTGAAGCCAAAGCTCAAACAGCTGGAAGACTGTCAAGGGCTGCTGTAAAGCTGTTAGTCACACCCCAGTTACACCAGTCTGACAAGGACACTGGTTATCCCTCATCTCCAGCACCTCGCAGCCTGCATGCGACATTTATATGCAAGACCACACACAGGACTCCAGGATCGCTGCCGGCGCTGCCAGGAGGCAGAGCTGGGGCCTGACTGCTCTTTTGGATGCCTTTCAATTGATGGTTTTGCTCCAGGGAAAGGATTTCATCAGCTTACAGGGCTTTAAACTTGTGATCTGCATCTGCCAGGCCAAAGATTGATCAGCAGGTACAGGGAGGATTAAAGGTTACACTGGTTAGCAGGCAGTGTCTCCAGCCTTCTTCTCTCCTCTATTAAAGGGCAATCAAGCTGTTTGCTGTCTCCTGCCACCCTGCACAGTTCAAGGGGAGAAGCCAGCAGCCGGGTACCAGCACAACAGCTCCTGTGAGGGGTCTTGGGGAGCAGCAGGGCCCCGCTCCATGAGCGTACCCCAGTGACTCAGGGCTTGCAGAGCAGCTTAAGCGATAACCGAGGCTGAGGAGCCCCTGCTAATAACAGCCCTGCACTTAATGAGATCTCCTGCTGGGAACAGGAGTCCGAGCGTGCCCTTCCCCAAGGGATTGCAAAGAGAGAGGTGTTACTTACGTTCAATTTTCTTCTTCATTCTCGGACATACAAAGAACCAGACGACGAGAGCACAGACAACAGCACTCCCCGCCGAAATTAGGAGGATACCCCACAGAGGAACTTTGTCAAAGCCCAGCACTAGGAAATAAAACAACGGATCTTTGAAAACCTCCAGGCAAAAGCCTCCTCCACGTATGACTTTGCTCTTCCCAGCAAGGGGACTCCATCACCTGCAACATCCCTGAGCTAATTCACCTGCTAGGGAGCAATGCTGTTGGAACACCAGCACTAAACCCATACAGGAACACACACACACACACACACACCCC